TTTTAAGAGTTTTGAGTCAAGTTAGAACCAATTTTCATCCAAGTTTGTGTTTTGGCTCAAAACTGCCCAGTTTGTGTTTTTAGGCAGTTTTGAGTGTTTTTAGCTTATTTTGAGTCTTGTGAACTTGTTTTGATTTTTTTTTTAGTGAGTTAAGTGTTTTAAAGGTTAGTTTTATTTATTTGAGTCAGTTTTATTTATTTGAGTCAGTTTAAAGTATTTAGCACCACCTACGGACCCCTCAGGGCCGACCATCGATGAACCTAGGTCAGGTTCTAGTTTCGAAGAAACTCATAAATCAATGGTTTTATGTGACCATTGTAAAACACCAGTTGAACCTAAGAAGAGGACGGCTTCTGCACCAACTTCAGGCCTACCATCCATGACCACAACAAAACCGCCAAAGGAGCTCAGTGCCAGTCCACGACGCCAAGTGTTTGAGAGACTCGGCCCACAGGTATAAGCAAAAGACCCAGCCCTAGTCAGACGGCGTCTTGACTTTGATGCGCCATTCTATAATGAGGATTATTACTCGCTCAACTCAAGCAGTTCAAGTTCGTCAATCGATCGAAAAACCTTCAAACCACCTAGGCCACGAGACCAACCTTGGTATAGTTACAACTCCCCAACAGGCCTGTATACGGCGTTACTTAAATCTCAAAAACTTCGTCGCCAGCGGATAGATTGCATGGCTCGACGACAAGAAGTGCAGGCCAACTCGACCACCCGGTGGTAGCCAAAAGATGCAGTAATAAGCGGTGACGATCGGCCGACCATCATGACCGAGTTACTTAAAGGAAAAAGGGCAGCTGCTCGCGACTTTGAGACCATCATTGAAGAGTCCGAGAAACACATCAAGCTCCTTCTTCGGCCTGGGGAGATGAGAGCCCGCCTCGAGCATTTGAGGCAAGAGGCCGAAAGGAAACTTTCCCCGCTACCAACGCCGGAACCGTTAGTCAAAGTACGGCGCAATCTGGACCCTCCATTCCTCGGTGAATCCTTGGAGTACATATGGGAATTTCATAAGAAATATTCCGCCAATGACTTATACGGACTACCTAAGGCATGTCAGGAAGCCCTCGACCTGGCACTAACTTGCCCTGACGCCGAGCAAATTATCCAAAAAACTTCCAATCCAGCAATGAAAGCTAGGTTCCAGCATACTTAAGGCTCGGGTCCTCGGCTTTGAGGTCGACCTCTACACAGATATCGACACCGCCGAATTACCCTTTTCACTGGAAGACCTTCAGCATTTGCGATATCATTTCGAAGTTTTCTTAGTAGTATCTCTTTTCGGCCTTACGGCAGATGAAAAAAATTATGTGGCGTGTTTAGACACATACTTGGACACAAGGAACGCCCGTATCGCCTACGAAGAACGAGCCTGTAAAATACTACAAGAACGAAATAAATCTTCAACAGTAAACGTGCTCGAAGAAGATAACCAGCATAGGATAGATTCAGTCCATACACCTCAGGAGCAAGCTCCTACCGAAGCGCTAAATAGTACAATGGAAGACGTTCCAACGACTAATGCTACATTTACTACTCTGGAAGACGACGACCAAGACCCGATAGGTCCCTTGGTCCTCGAGCATATGGAGCTCAGTATGGTCCATGTCTTACCGACTGAGTTCCAACCAAGCACCCATCAGTCAAATTTCTTGGATGGGGACGTCGTTGCCGAAGAAGCAACACAAGTGGATTTCGTCGCTCTTGACAACGATAAGGAAGTCAGTAAAGGCGACAACCTTAAGGCAGCCTTGGCCGAATTATTTCCCCGTTCCTCCTCGGTTAATCTCCAACATCTAAAGCCATTATACGTCACGGCCCATATTGAGGGATATCCTATTTCTAAGGTGTTTGTCGACTGTGGAGCCACAGTCAACATCATGCCAATATCCGTCATGAAGGCATTACGCCGTTCCAATGACGAGCTTATCCAATCAGGGATAACGATGAACAGCTTCATCGACGACAAGTCTCAAACCAAAGAAGTGCTCCCGTTAGAAGTCAGCGTTGCCGGTCGTCACCATATGACGGCATTCTTTATAATTGACTCAAAGACTGACTATAACGCATTGCTCGACCGCAATTGGATCCACCAAACCAGTTGCATCCCTTCATCATTATACCAAGTTCTCATCTTTTGGGACGACAAATTGGTTGTAATGCACCCAGCCGATAATCAACCATTTGAGACTAACATGATTCAAGCTTGCTATTATGACGATCACGTCGACTATATCACCTTCCAAGGTTTTAACGAGGATGGACAGCAGACCCGAATTTTGGTTCAGAAAGTGATTGAGGTAGGCGCCGAGACTATACAACAGGATTCGACGAGACTCGGCTTGGCAGATCTAATTACCAATGCCGATGATTGACTCCACCAAACAAGAAAGGCGCCAAGCCACGGTTTCGTCAACCATGGAACGTCTACTGGCCCATTGGTACGTCATCGCCAAACAACCACATTCCGGCATAAACTTAATTGAATTTTTGGCCAAAGTTCAGGCCACACCGTTCTCTCTTTCGACAAAGTTCAGGCCACACCAGCCGAACTCAAGGACAATTGGCCCCAGGTTAAGGTCCCATTGGAAGAAATTAATGTTGGCACAGTCGATGAGCCTCGACCATTGTTTATTAGTGCGTTATTACCACCGTCTATGAAATACGGGCTTTGTAAATTGCTTCACGAATTTAAAGATTGTTTCGCGTGGAGTTATCATGAGATGCTAGACCTTGACCGAACCTCGTCAAACATGAGTTACGCATCAAAGAAAGGTGTAAGCCCTTCCGATAACCCTACGTTGGTTCTTGACCGAAGTACAACTCGCATAAAGGACGAATTAGTTCAGCTTCTGAAAGCTGGGTTTATTTGGACTGCCCGGTACGTCGAATGGCTGGCCAATAATGTCCCGATGTTAAAGAAAAGTGGCGTCTTTTGCATTTGCATCAATTTTCGTAACTTAAATCTGGCCACTCCCAAGGATAAATACACAATGCCAATCTCAGATTTACTAATTAATGCCGCAGCCAATCATGAAATGCTATCCTTCATGGACAGCCATGCCGGTTACAACCAGATCTTATCGCTGAGGCTGACGTCCATAAAACCGTTTTCCGTTGCCCGGGGGCATTCGGTACCTACAAATGGGTTGTCATGCCATTCAGCCTAAAGAACGCCGGCGCCACATACTAGCGAGCCATGAATACGATATTCCACGACTTGATCGGTACGGTCGTAGAAGTTTATATTGATGATGTGGTGGTGAAAACAAAAAGCCGCCGAACACACTTAGATGATCTTCGACAAGTATTCATCTGCATGCGCCAGCACAGTCTCAAAATGAACCCGGCCAAATGCGCCTTCGGCGTATCGGTCGGTAATTTTTAAAGGTTCTTGGTGCATCATCGCGGCATTGAAGTCGACGAGAATAAAGCTCGCGCAATCATTAGCGCTCCACCCCCGACAACCAAGAAGCAACTCCAGTCATTGCTCGGAAAGATAAATTTTCTCTGCCGTTTCATCATTAACTCGACAGGCAAAATGAAAGCATTTTCTACTCTCCTCAAACTTAAGGACTCCAACAAGTTTGAGTGGCATGAAGAACACCAAACAGCTTTTGTGCAAATCAAACCTTTCCACGCCACCGGTACCAGTTCCACCTTGTCGCGGTAAACCTTTCAAATTGTACATTTCGGCAGCCACTGAATCCATCGGTTGTCTCATTGCGCAAGATAACAATGCCGGGCGTGAACAAGCTATCTTTTACCTCAGCCGTAATCTGAATTCGTCGGAGCTTAATTATTCACCCGTTGAAAAACTTTACTTAGCTCTGTTTTTTCCGCATCAAAACTTCGGCACTACATGCTTCCATCAGTCACGCAGGTCATTGCCCAAACAAATGTTATTCGTTACATGCTCACTCGGCCTATCGTCACAAGTCGAATTGGGAAATGGACAATGGCTTTATCAGAATTCAGTTTGTAGTACGTACCCCAAAAGGCCGTCAAAAGCTAAGCTCTCGCTGCTTTTTTGGCCCAACACCCTTCTCCTTATGGCTTTGGGGGCAGCGGCGTCGACATCGACTTAATCACAACCCGCGACAACCACTGGACGATGCATTTTGATGGTTCTAGTACCTCGACCTCGGCTGGTATTGGTATTGCCATTCAATCGCCCGACCACTACCGCTGGTATTTTTCTCTCAAGTTAGATTTCGGCTTACACGATTTAAAAGCAACTCGTGTTCTCGTTCTTGGTGATTCTGAACTGGTGATTAACCAACTCAACGACATTTTCCGTTGCATGAGTTATACTTTGGCACCCTATCACATGGTCATCACCTATTTGGCCGAGTCGATTGAACGGATCAAATTTGAGCACGTTTCTCGTATTCAGAACACTGACGTCGATGTACTTGCCCAAATCGCCTCCAGAGCACAACTCACAAGGGGCAAGCTAAGCCGGGTAACATCCACAGTCTTGCGATCGTACCTAGCCTTGGTCAATCAGCAAATTCTCCAGCGCAATCACGTGATACGCACGAGGGTGATGTCGTTACCATCGTTACTAGAATGGGGAGACCCCGTAGAAGTATGTGTTGTCGAGACACTACCAGACGATTCTACGATATCTTGATAACCCCAACGGGAAACACGACCGAAGAACGAGGGTCCACGCCAAGAATTACATGTCATGCCAAAATGAATTATACCGAAAGGATGAGGATGGGTTACTATTATTGTGCCTCGACCCACAGGAGGCTGTCCAAGCAATGGCCGAGGTACATGAAGGAATTTGTAGAGCTCACCAATCAGGATGCAAAATGCACTGGTTGCTCCGACGACACAGTTACTTCTAGCCAAATATATTAAAGGATTGCATCGAATACACACGGGGATGTATACCGTGCCAGATTCATGGACCAGTGCAGAGAGCCCTGGCCGAATTACTCCACTCAATTACTAAACCATGGCCGTTCAGGGGATGGGCAATGGACGTAATCGGCAAAATCACACCATCATCGGGAGCGGCAAAACACGCGTGGATAATAGTAGCAACCGATTACTTCACTAAGTGGGTCGAGGCAAAATCATACGCCAAATTAACAGCCAAAGAAGTTTGCAATTTTGTAGAGGAAAATATTGTGACCAAATTCGGCGTGCCGGAAACGATCATAACCGACAATGGCACAATCTTCAAGGCTGACAGGTTTAGGGAATACACGGCAAGTCTGAATATCCGACTTGAGCAATCTACGCTGTATTACCCACAAGCGAACGGGCAGGCCAAAGCAAGTAATAAAGTATTAATCGACATTCTCAAAAAAACGGTAAGAGAGAGGCCTGGGATGTGGCATTTAAAGTTAAATGAAGCATTATGGGCATACCGAACTTCACCCCAGTCGGCCACCGGAACAACTCCATACCTGTTAACTTACGGACACGATGCTATGTTACCAGTCGAGCTACATATAAACTCATTACGAGTGATCGAGCAGAGTAGTTTGTTTAGTGCCAAATATAGTCAAGCTATGCGACAAGAATTAGAAGACTTAGAAGAAAATCAGATCGACGCGGGTAATTTATTAATAGCACAGAAGAAAATTGCCGAGTGAGCTTATAATCAACGCGTCAGACAAAAAACGTTCGACGAAGGAGAATTGGTTTGGCAAACGGTGTTGCTTGTTGGGATTAAAGACCACAGGTTCTGCAAATGGTCGCCAAATTGGGAAGGACCATTCATTGTCCACAAAGTTCTCGGCAAGGGGGTGTATCATCTTAGAGATCGGACCGGTTTAATTCACAAATTGCCGATTAATAGAAAATTTTTAAAAAAGTACTATCCAGTCACGTGGGAAATGCAAGAATGAATATCAATGTATTAAACTCATGAAAAGGGGCGAGCAGATACATTCAAAAGGCTCCTAAAAATTCTAGGGGGTCGAAGGGAAGAAAGTCTTGAGAGCATCCTTCAACTCCAGCCACCTCACTTCGCTCAAAATTATCTCAGCCTGCCTCGTCTTCTTATTAAGTTACAACTGCTGGATGTGCTTTACACCGACAACGAAGGTCGTAAGCCAAGCTTTATTTGCCTCAAAGTCCTTCTCAAGCTCTGAAGCATCAGCTGACCTTTGCTGTTGAAGCTTAACAACTTGACGCTGAAGCTCGGAAATCTGGCGATCAAACTCGGTCAGCTGCGCCTTCATTGTTTTTATCACCTTCACCTCTGCCCGGCCAGTCTCATGCGCAATCTTGGCCGCCTTCAAGTCGTCTTCGGCCCGTAAAGCTTGTTCAAAAATGGTGAAGTGTTGCCGAGTCCACTCTAGAAGGGTAGTCAGATAGGCGATATTCTCCATGCTCAAAAAACCACCATTTGCAAGGTCATTCAGGCATTCCCCAACGGAGTTAAGGCCCTTGCATTGGAGGACTTGGGAGGCAGAGATGGACAGAAGCTCCTGTAGCTTAACAAGCTTGGACCTCGGCCACGGCCGCCACTGGTTCGGCAGGGGCAGCAGAGGAACCGACCGCACCAGTCGTGCTCTGAAGAAGAGCATCGAGCTCGACCTTCCACGAAGGCTGCACATAGAAAAAATTCGTAAGCAAAAGGAAAATTAGTTGGAATGCATAACAGAGGGAATGTGTTTCTAGACCTGCCGGGAGGAGACATCGGCCATGCCCTCTTGCTCGAACCTAAAGAACTTAATGGCCGAGCCCAGTGCCTAAGACCGCTTCTCAAGTCACGCGGCCGATGGAGGTTATCTACATTTGATGGCCACTAAGGTGGCCAGGAAATGTAGACAATACCTTTCAGCGCATAAAATTGTCGGTGAAATGAATGTTCAGGCACCTGACATTTAATATTATCCTGAGTTCAGGTGCATCATAATAAAATTGATAAAGGAAGGAGAGTGAGCCTTACAAAGGCCGAGGTGAGTTCTTGTGGAGGAATGTTGAGGTCTTCATCTTGTGGATGAAGCAGCGTTTCGGCCGTCCCTAAGGCTCGACCAAGGGCCTCTTCCCACGGTCGGCCATAGGAGGATCCGGATGGACAACTACGTCGACCACAAGAGAAGGATGGACGGGAGAAAGGTTGGATGGTCGAGGGCGACGCTCTAACAGAATTTCATTGCTCTCCTCGTTCTCATTATCCTGAAATAAAAAGCTGTTATGATTTGAAAATCAGATAAACAAGGATCATTAGCAATGGAATCATACCTCTTCAAGAATAATCATTGGTCGCTAGATAGGGGATGCCTCGACGGGTGCAGCCGTCTCCTCCAAGACAGGCGCAATGACTGGCTCCGAAGCCACAACTGGAGCAACAGCCGGTTCCACCGTAAACCCAGTCGTCAGTACGGCCGGGGGTAGTTGGTCCGCCGGGGCCTGGATAACAGGGACGGCAGGAAATACAACAGGAGCGGTTGATCCCATGGTCTGGCTGAAGATAACGTGAATCTCCCGCTCCCCCTTTTTCGTCAATTTCTTGACGCGTTTTGAAGGGCGAGGAACGTCATCTACTGTCTAAACGCCCTAATGAGGTTGTTTGGTCAGCAGAGTTTGCTCGGTGGTTTTAACCTTCGAGGAAGGGACCGATTTTTTCTTGGCTGCCACTCCAGCGACCACATCCGCTTTTTTTAACAACCTACCGTCTGAGAAAACAGGATCGCATTAGAAAATGGTTAATGATAAATTGAGGAAAGAAATAGGAGAAAAGGGTAGCTGTCTACCTCGGGTCGGCTCTTTGGATTGAGAGATAGAGATTCTCTTCGGTCGATCACCGAAAAGTCTGTCGGTGATGTTTTCGACCGCAGCCCCAAAGAAGACTCCAGTATATTATTCCCACCAGTCACCGAAGGTGTCTATGCCGAGAAATTCAGGGAGAGTTGATCGAAGGAGGAATGTTTTGCACCGATCCTGAAACTCCTTCTCGAAATCTCTGCACTCCTTCTCTGATGAGCCGAAAAGGCGCTCTCGGTTGAAGAGGGAACGGGAAGTGAGCAGAGGAACCAGATAACCTTGAAGGTATCCAAGTTGACGGGTCGTGAAGTGGGGGTGGTAGACTTCCCAACTCGCTCAACGAGGATCACAGCCAAGGGAAAGGTCGCGTTCTAGCACGATCGACCCCCAATTCTGGCGGAGGGTAGCATATGCACCATCGGTCCAGGCTGAGATGGAAGCCTGATGGAGTGAGGGTTCTCTCGACGATGACATACTAAGAATTCCTCATCGGAGAGGACTTCTAGGCCAAGAGGTATTTGAAGACTTCTTCGGCCTGGTGAGGAGGCGGCGGCTGAAATGCTAACTGAAGGCCAAACGAAGTAGTAGGTTGAAAGGCAGAGACATCCGGCCAAAGTGTGGTAAAATAGACTTGCAGCCAGAGTTGGAAGACCCAGAGGGGACCATTCTGATTTGGGTCTATTTTTCCAATGGTCGCTTCGGCCAGGCAACGAAAAAGATTGGCGAGAATGTCCGAGCTAAGCGCCAGGAAGTGACCACTAGCCAGGGCCTCGGCCACCGGCATGTTCTTGACCAAACATTTGTTCGACTGAGTACAACAAATAAATTTGTTGTACCAATAGAATAGGAAGGCTTCATGTTCTCTCTTCCTAAGGCTCTTCTCACCGCGGCCAACGAAGTGGATGATGAGGGTGTTGTAGTTGAAGAAGTTCTTGTGTAGTTTCTGAACCTCTTCTTTCGAGGGCTCTCAACCATCTCAACTCAGTGTTTCGACAGCGCGATCTTTGAAAAACGCCTTGAGGTCGAGGTTTGACAGGTGACCAAAGAAAGCTGCATCTATCGGGATGCCAGATAGAGGAGTCCCGAGGATGGCCGAGATATCAAGGATAGTAGGGCCGAGAGGGCCGAAAGGAAGAACCATGGTGTTGGTGGCCGAACACCAAAAACTCAGAGCTACCATGAGGAGCTCTTTGACCATGGTTAGCTCTATGGTCGAAAGCTTGATGGTATCATAGATACCAAGAGTCTTCCACTCTTAGCCAAAGAAGTTTTCCATTCGGACGACCCAAGCCACCCAGTTGGCGTTGGTCGTGGGCCAGGCTCCTTGGGGCCTTAATAGATCCTATTTTGACCAGTCAAACCCTTGCAGTAAGGGTATCAGGTAGTGAGCCTTAAAGAGAGTAGTAATTGACGAAGAAACCACATCCTTGAAGAGCGGCCCTAGGATTTGGTGGGTAGTGCTCAGATCACCTTCGAAACGTAGAGTTTTGATGGCGTTCCGATCAATAAAGCTCTTGCATTTGCTGTATTCGTCGCTGAGCTTGGAAATGAAGGTATTGGAACTCATTTTGGAATTTGGAAGAATGCTTGGGAGGTTTCTGAGAAAGTCTTTGAACGTTTCTGCAAACGTGAGTACAAATAAAGGGAATTCAGGTATTTATAGGCGTTTCAGAAGGAAGATCAAACGTTTGGTATTTGGAAGCACTAGATTTTTGAATTTGGGGGAAAATTAACCGGGAAATGGCCAATCATTTCGGATATTTTGGGACTCTTCAAGGATAGGATCGAGGTTTTTGGGGATTTGGGATGCACGATTGCGTGCGGCGGCGGTTTTAATGAATTAATGAGGAAGAGATGTTTCGATGGGGGCACGTTTTCGAGGGCCATGACTGAGAAATGGTAGGTTTATCGGAAGATCGACACATGGCAGTACGTCGGGAGTAACGAGGATCGTGCAATCATCTCCCATAAATGCACATGGTAATGGTTATCAAGAACAATTAAGTCTAAAGGCAAAGGATGTTTTCACTTCTTCAAGGTCGACATCCGACCAAAGGTTGGCAGTCGACGACCTCATAAGCGAGGGGGCAATGTTTGTGCCCAAAATAATATTATTGGGCCGAGTGTAGGTTTGTGCTCGGCCCAAAGCCGTGTCAAAATACTATGGGCTGCTTGATGATTCCGGGCCATTTAGCAGGGATGGTCGAGTCCTATCGCAAGAAGAAGTAAGTCAAATAAGCAAAGAGGGTCGAGGAAGTTCAGGTGCAATTAGGATTCTCGACCGACAATGAATAAAACCCCGAAAGGGGGTAGATTCAAAGTCCTAATGGGAGTAGGGTTGTTCGAAGCAAAATTGGAACGAAACAAGAACTCCCAATCCAGATAGGAGTTTAATTCGATCTCAAGAAGGAGTTGGTGCTATAAATACAAGAAATCATGCAACAATTGAGGACCTTCAATTCAACACACAATTGCCCTGCGCAAAACCTCTCAAACAGCTTGAGATTTTTATTTTCTTTTTCTCGCCGACACACCTTCAATTTGGATAAACAGCACTGTTTTCGTAGAATCAGCCGACCGAAGAGCACCTTCAGTTTGGATAAACAGCACTGCGTCGAGGTCAACCGGTTACCTATCCAAGTCTCGGCCGAGAAGGGTTTTCGAATCCTTGTTGGTGGAGGTCATCTTATTAGCCTTCTCAGCGAAGTAAAGTGTTACTAGCTACGACATTCGACGTACGCTGAGTGATTTTATGATTGGATACTCACAAGTGAGTTTCAGAGTTCAGCATTCTGACGGCCGAACCACATTCACCATCAAGACATACATCACCTTTGAATATTTGTATCTGTATAGTCTGGTGTCGATTCGACGTGCT